TTTAATCAATTAATTGAGATGGATAATTATCTATTTAGGTATTGATTTTAATTTGTGGATGTATCTTTTTTAATTGGGATGTGTTTAATTTTAATTGAGTTAGATAAAATTTAAATTAATTAATTAATTAATTTATTTATTTATTTATGCTTTTGTAAATGATTTGCAAAGATTGAAATCTAAACAAAACCACTTCGAAGTCTTTGGTTCAATTCAAAACTATAATGTTGACGAATGCACATGAATCCAAACCAATGGTTCAGAAAAGTGGTTTTTATTCAATTTTATGGATTGGTGGTTTCATTGGTTAGTCCTAATAACAACCATAATGGAGTTAGGTTGTCTAATTTTACATTGAAGAGACAAGTTACTAATAAGGAAAATTCAACTTGTACATAATTATTGCACATAATAGTGTTCATAATGTGAGATGACAATCATTCGGTTATTGATGTGCAAGTGTGAAATTTGAATTAAAAGTTGGATCCAGTGCCACGTATAATTATGAATACTATTATGTAAGCAATTGTGTACATGTAACACTTTCCATAAGGTTCGGTTGCCTCTCATTTCATTTTCTTAAAAGGCTTGGTAAAAACTCAAGTTGACAAGCATTTTGCCAAATTCTTCGACATCATTCAAAAGTTGAATGTAAGCACCTCACTTGTAGAGGCTTTGGCTTAGATACGTCTACACTTAAATTCACTAAGGAGGTACCGTTGAATAGAGGAAACTGCTGGCAGAATAAGTTGCCTTCAAAGTTCAAAGCTGTGTGATTATCTTCAGCCTAAATGTCATCCTATATTCTATCAATTCAGCAACTGTGGTCAGGCTATATTTATCGAGCTTTTTTGCTCTTTGCCATGTAGTTCCATTGCTATGTCATCCTATAGAGAAGGATGCATGCTTTGATATTTGGCTCTGATTCGTCCAATATTTGATGTGACGAAGAAAGAAATTATATGGCTCGGTTTATATGCTTATGTATTGTGTACTGAAGAAGAAACAATTGCGTTAGAAGGAGCTCTTATCTTTATTAAGGTCTAAGCTAATGGCATATTGGAAGACTGAAAACGTCATTTGTACTCGATTACGCTGTTGATGATGCACCTTCTTCCCTGTTCTGGAACATTAAGCTCATGTTTGATGGAAATTAAAATAAGATTTTTAGTAGGTTTTGATAGAAGTTGATGAAATATGTGGCTGAAAAGTTGTGAGACCCGTAAATTATGTGGTTGAAATGAATGGTTGATTTTGACTTAGAATAAAAGATTTTAATCGGTACCATACAAGGGCTAAGTATTGACCTCTGGAGTTGATAGCAGGCAAGATTCGTGTCTTCTATTGTACCTCTGCGATCAATTTTTGTACCACCATCAAACTACAAATGCCAATTTCTTGACAGGCATAGTAATATTCAATATAATGACATATTACTTGCAATATAATGAATTATGATTTTATGTTGTAACTTTAATTAAACTACAATGAAATATAGCTAAATAAAGAAATTTAGCTTCCAATTTATAATTTTTCATCTTTTTGTCTCGGTAATTGTAATTGCGTTATTTTAATCGAGACAATATTAGAGAAATACTTCATCTTTTTAATAATATTAGAGATATTCCAAGTGATTCAAAAAATCACGAACGTCCCTTATTTCTAATTTTGAATATAATATACATACCTAATGAAGTCCAGCTCGTTAAAAGCATAACCGAGTTAAAAACTAAAAGAAAATATGGCAAAAAAATTGAACCAAGTCCAAATCTCCTCTATGAAAAATTCCAGACTCGTTAGATATGTTCGAAATTAGAGCATTCACGATTTAAAAGAAAATCAAAGCTTTCGTTATTCTTCATCTTGTTTCTTTGCTCAGTTTATGTTACAAATTTTCGATGACTTTAGATTTGTGATTGGCAACTTGTTAAATAAGGTTTACTTATATTCAAATTTAATCTAATTGCTGGAATTCATTACTTAGTAATTGTAGTAGTCAGGATTTTGAAAATTATGCAATTTTTAGAAATTTGAAACATATCTATAGAGGTTCCATAATTTTTAATTTTTATGTTATTTATTTGTTTAAGCTTGTATAAAAACGTCATATCATCTACCAAATATTTATATAAAAAATAGAGGGCTCATTCAATTTTTTTTTTAAATTTATTTACCCTCTCTTGTATAAGTGAGTTAGTGACCTACAATTTCATTGGTTCAAGACGATATTGAAGATGCGAGTAATGTTACTCAACACTATAAATAGCATTACTTGCCACTATCAATGTCAGGCGCTAGTTTTAGTGACAATTGAATCTCAATAAACAACGTCACATAATTCATTTAATTGAACCTATCAAGTGTGACCATTTAAACTATTGGAAAATTTGGAATAATTAGTTGGTTTGGCCAATTATTTAAGTGGGTCCTATTAGTTGGATGAATGATTTCTTTGGCTAAGTGCTTTCTATTCCATGAGTAGAATTAATATATGCATTTATTTCTCAAAACTAATTAAGGGTGAATGAAAAATTAAAATCAAAGGATGACTACTTGAAATTGAAATAAATTGGGAATAAAAATTACTGAAAAATTGGAAAGTGTCAATCCCATATAGAAAAACTAGAAAAATAGAAACCGCTTTATATAACTCAAGTTTGGTACTTGGGTTTGGACCCCATGGAGACCACCAGTCTTTGGAGGGGGAGAGGACCTACAAGCTAGTATGTTGAGCTAAAGCCTACACGCGCGTGCCGTCGCCAGTTGGTCGGCTCAGCTCGGCATGAGCACGGGCGCATTGTGGGCTTGAGCTTGGACATGGGCCCAGTGGTATATATATTTTTCGTAAAATAATATTTCAATTATATTATTTTGTTAAATTAAATAATATATTTTAATTATATTATTTATTTTTCCCCCCGAAATTTCTATGCGTGGCACGTAGCTTCTTCTAGAAATTGACGGTTGCCGACAGTTTTCACTGTTTGTCCAAACGAGTTGTGTCTGTTTCAAGACACAACTTTTCGATTGTTGTGTCTTTTGTGCACAGTTTTTCAACTTCTATAAATAGACTTTCATCCTCGTTTTTGTTTATTCCAAAAATTCCTTCTTATTTCCCCTCTTACAAAATACTGTCATTTTGTCCTGCAGTATTACATATTTTGCATTTTAGTCCCAAATGTTAAATTCGTGCATTTTAGTCCTCCAATTATCGAGAGATCAAAGTATTAGCAGGTTTGCCAAATCTTATAATTTGGAGTGTTACTATTATAAGTTGAGGTCGTTGTATTTTGGAACGCGAGTGTCAGGAGACCGTTTGTACCAGTGCGGGGTATTATCGTCTTAAGAAGAAAGAGTCGAACTCTTGTTTCGACCATTATCATTCTAATTTGATTACACTCATTTATAAGTCGAATTTCTGCCCAACTATTTATTCACTAACTATATAAAATCATTGCCCAGTATTCTCGAATTTTAATCAACATAAACTAATGCCCTGTTTAGTCTTGGAGATGCTCTTCTCCTTCCTACTTTGTTTACCAACAGATCAGATTGTTATTACTGAAAAAAATTAATAAATAAATAAATAAGAAAAAAATAAAAAACTATATTAAACACGTCGTGTATTATGAAGGTAGCACCTACGGTTGCACAAAAAAATTACGAAACTGAGAACCGAATCGAAACCTTTGAGTTCAAATCGTTGGTTTGGGTCCACGTGAACCCGTGATTTCTTTTCCCTTAAATCGAACCAAACCTTTTCAAAATGGTTTGATTTATATTTTGATTTTCAAAAATCGCACAAAATCGAACAAAACCGTTTTTAAAATTTTAATTAAAAAATTAATTTTATTAACTTAAAAATTTTATAGTTTTCACTTAAAAAAAAAATACCAATTTAGCAATAAAAATTACAACCAGTCTATTAAAATAATCATTGAATGTAAATTAGGTTCGTCATTATTATGATTTAACAGGTTCACAAAACATGTCCTTACCCGATATCTAAACTAAACTAAAATTATTCTAAAAAAGATAAAAAAGCATATATTTTCAACAATTCAAATTATAATTCTACAAAATTAGGTCAGCCAAATACGTTCAAAGTTTCAGAAACCATAACATAAACTTCCATTTTTCTAACATTTGACGCTTGTCTGTCACTATTAAACGAATTGTTATTTGCCTTTGCCTGTTAGTCTACTAATCTCTATCTGAATTGCCTCTTTCTCTCTTCTCTTTCAATGAGTTTTATATTCTTATTCAAGTCATTTTTTCATTAGTCTTTCTTTTATTTATTTTTTTGAACTTATTATACACTTGTGAGTTGTGGTTTGGATAGAAAAATGATTGTTTGTGTGCTTAGATGATCAATAAATTTGTTTGTCATTTGGAAAGAATGAAGGACGGAGCTATTGATTGTGTGAAAATGTTAAAGTTCTCTAATTAGTTCTACTACTGTCTACTTACATAAAATAGTTAAAGGATTAAATTTGTCAATTTCCAATAAGTCGTAACTCTATCAATCTTTATATATTTAAACATATCTCGTTCAATCCTTATTTAATATCTTACTAGCAAAACAAAAGGAGTTTTAATCAAACTATAATAATAGAATGTAACTTTTCATTTACTAATCGCTATATGACAATATGAATGTCAAACAAAAAAAAGTAAACAAAAATGAAAAAATATGTATTTGTTCTATTAACATCTTTTGTCAACCAACTTTGAAAATAAATTTTTCATGATTTTCATGATAAATATGAATGTAATTTAACATTTAACATTATCAATTCTTGTTTAAATTTATATTTAACTTAAGTTAAATACATTACTATAATGTCCAAAGGTAAACCGCGGATTAAAATCTTGGTTTGGTTTGATTCGAAAAATAAAATGGTTTGATTTGGTTCGAAAAAATTTTAAACTGTATAAAATAATTTGCGTTTAAAATATAATACATATCGTCCAAACCGAAGTAGCATCCAAGCCCACGCTTCCTTAGGTCAAAATAACGAAGCCTATACAGGAAAAAGCTTTTCGCGTTGCATCGCTGTTACAGTGAAAAAATTAAAGAAAAAGAGGTTACGAGAAAACCTCGACATTCGCATTCAAGAAATGGCAATGGCACAGCATTTGAGACAAGGCCTTCCTAGTCTCCGCCGAGTCCTCACGTCCGATACTCTAACCGCCGGACATCGATCCGCTTCTATTAAGGCCTTCATCCCAACTCTTACCAACCAGGAGGTATTAAAAACAATAATTTTTTGGAAAATTGTTTAATAATGTTTTTTTCTATTAACGAAAATTTCATTGAAATCGGAATTTTTTTGACAGTGTTTTAGCTTTGTTATGTCTTGCTTTTATTTGATCTGTTGGATTTATATTAACAAAATGTGGGAAAATCAATTTGTTTGGTGTTTCATAATCAAATGCACAAGATACTGATTTATTTTATTTATTTTGTTTTTTGTAGTTCTCAAGGAACTATGCGGCTGCATCTGCTCCGAAAGAGCAGAAAATTAAGGTAATTATCCTCGTTGAGTTTCAATATATATATATATATATTGGGATTATCAATTTTTACATGACTCTTAATCTGATCTTTTGAAATGTAGATATTCCATAGTAAATGAACTAGTAAAATTTTCCATGCCTAATGAAAGAAGTTCTTCAAGTTGTAATTTCTGTTTTCTCGCCACGTGTGTCATGATTAAGTTCCTGAAATCTTTCTATTATTTTGATCGAGCAGCAATAATTGTGTCATAGTCTTCTAACACGTCACTTGATTAATGTCTTGACATTCTGTTATTTCTCTGTCTCCTTTTTAGGTTCCCTTAACAATGTTTGGTGTTTCTGGAAACTATGCTTCTGCTTTGTACATTGCGGCAGTTAAAGCCAATGTATTGGACAAGGTTGAATCTGAACTGCTTACCCTTGTTGAGGCTTCAAAGAGAAGTCCTACATTTTCTCAGTTCATGAAGGATTTATCAGTAACTGCTGACACCAGAATGAAGGCCATAAATGATATTTGTGCTCAAGCTAAATTTGCGGATATCACAAAGAATTTCTTGGGTAAGAACGCTTTTTATTGTTGCTTACAAATCATTATTTTTAATTGAGAAGGAATTGATGTTGGAATACATTTGATCTTATGATTTTGAGCATGAATTGAGTTTTCTAAGAGCATGTCAGTATATAAGCATAGCCTTGCACTGCTATTAGATATATTTGTTGGTTAGATCGTACTTGTTTACTGGCACAACTTTTGGATTGATAACATCTTTAGGTAACTGAAACTTGGTTATGCTAAGTAGTTGCATCTTTACTGCAGCATATATTGCATTGCAAATTCATATTCACATCCACACAACCACGATGTTGAATAGCCAATCGTAAGCACTGGTTTGAATTCACTGGACAATAGGCAAATTTTATAGGATGTCAATGCTCTGGTTTGTCATAACGTTAATTGCATAACACCAGTTTTCAGAAGCTTGTGGGTTCTGATAGTATTATATGAACAACTGTTGTCTTGTATTGCTTGAAATGCCAAAAAATGTGCAAGCCTGTGCATTTTTCCCAAGTATTGATTACATGTAGTTTTATGATTATGATACTTTTGATACTGATGTTGTCCGTGCATCTCTGGTTGATTGATCAAATAATTTTAGGTTATCTATTAATTTTTCTCTTGGTCTTCTTGTTTATGCGTTATTCTCTTATCTTATTTGTACCAGCTGTTGTGGCTGAATCTGGGAGGCTAGGACACATAGAACGCATAGCACAGAGATTTGCAGAACTGACCATGGCACACAAGGGAGAAATAAAAGCAATTGTAACATCTGTAATTGTAAGTTCATCTTCTTTGCTGCTGACTATTACAAGCATTACTATTCTTTCTGAACTGGGGCTTGTTAGTGAGGATGAGTAATGAATGTATCTTTTATATTGTTAAAAAGAAATTTTAATCCTAAAGAGATCAAAATTGTCGTAAAATTGTGGAAATAATCAATGTTTTGAAAATTGGATTGGATTGGCTTGTTCGACCGGAAAAATGGGAATGGCCAAGAAACCGGTAGGTCATCACTTAAAACTCACTTAATCAAAAACCGGAAGAAAACCCGCCAATTGACTGCTCAAACCGGGAACCTGCTGAGCCGGTACCGATTTTCACGGTTGGTTTACCTTTAAAAAATATTTTAACTTGCGCAACCTCAAACTATGAAAGGCCCAGCAAGCTAGATTCCTCTACGTCTTGGGCCAGCATTTTTATTGATTTCTACTTCATCGCGATCGGACAGCAAAAATCGCCCTTCTTTACATATCATTGTTTAATGGTTGAAACTGGAGCTATTTAAAGCAACATCTTGAAAGTATTTTATTTTTAATTCTACAAGTTGGATTGCTGATTTTTTTATATGGTAAAAGTGCTATAGGAAAATGAAAAATGTTACTTTTTGATTAATGTTAAAAATAATGTGTTGTAGCAAATATAAATAGTGTTACTTGAAAAAATTGTAAACGAAAATTTAAGTCCCAAATCAATTTATTGGTTTCTTTAATCATGTCAAATAGATATCTAGAATTATGCAAAATCAAGTCAAATAGATTTATCATTACACAGGTGGTTGTGTAAGGATTAAAAAGTTTATTCTTGGAGACTTTACTCATGTTTAGATTGGAAGGATGGTACTGAAGTCTAAATACATTATTGTAGTCTAAAAAGGTTCTTGTACTCAGGCTTTGTAATTAATAAGAATGAATTTGAAGAGGATTTTATGCATTGGCTTATAGTTGGAGAAAGACTGCAATGATTCTTTGTGGTTGGAGGTTACCTACAAATTAAAAGATAGTTCTATGGATTCTAGGAGGAGCACAGTCCTGATATAACAAGGGCTACACAAAAAAAAAAACAAAAAAATCGCGAAATCGCAAACCGAATTGAAACCACTGAGTTGAAATCGTTGGTTTGGATCCATGTGGACCCATGGTTTTTTCCCCTCAAACCGAACCAAACCGTTTCAAAATGATTTGATTTAGGTTTTGATTTTCAAAAACCGCACCAAATCAAATCGAACCGTTTTAAAACTTTTTAGTTAAAACATTAATTTTGTTAACTTAAAATTTTTACAGTTTTTAGTTTTCAGAAAATACCAATTTAGCAATACAAGTTATAACCAGCCTATTGAAATAATCATAGAAAGTAAATTAGTTTCATCATTATTGGCCTATGGTTTAACAAGTTCACAATACCCACCCTCACCTAATATCTAAACTAAACTAAAATTATTTCAAAATCATATGAAATGAAGAAAATATATATTTTCAACAATCAAAATCATAATTCAACAAAACTACATCAACAAATCACGTCCAAAGTTTCAGAAGTCCTAACATAAACTCTCATTTCTCTAACATTTGACGTTTGTCTGTCACTGCTGAACGAATCGCCAGTTGAATTTGTTTGTTAATCTCCTAATTTCTACCTTAATTGCCCCTTTCTCTCTTCTCTTTCAGTAAGTCTCAGCATTCAAGCCATTTTTTTCGTTGTTCTTTCTTTTATTTGATGTTTTTGAACTTATTACCCACTTGTGAATTGTGGATTGGATAGAAAAATAACTATTTGTGTGCTTAGATGATTAATGAATTTGTTTGTGGTTTGGAAAGAACGAAGGGCGAATTGTACTGATTGTGTGAAAATGTTGAAGTTCCATAGCTAGTACTACTACCCTACTTTCATAAAGTAGTTAGAGAATGAAATTCGTCCAATTGCTAATAAGCTGAAACTCTATCAATCTTTGTACATTTAAATATATTTCGTTCAATTCTTATTTAACATTTCACTAGCAAGACGAAAGGAGTTTTTACCAAACTATAATAGTAGAATATAACTCTACCTTTACCACCCGTTATATGATAATATGAATATGAAACAAGAAAATGTAAATAAAAATGAAGAAAGATGTATTTTTTCTATTAACATCTTTTAACAACCAACTTTGAAAATAATTTATTCATGAATTTCATGGTAAATATGAATGTAATTTAACATTTAACATTATTAATTCTCGTTTAAGCTTATATGTTAACTTATGTTAAATGTATTACTATAATGTCGATAGGTAAACCAGGGATTAAAATCGAATCAAACCACAAATTATGGTTTCGAAAAAGAAAATGGTTTGGTTTGAATAAATTTCAAACCGCATAAAATGGTTTGAGTCAGAAATATAGTACAAATCGCCCAAACTGAACCGCATTCACCCTTATAAATGTTTAGAAGAGAGGGATATATTAAATGAACTTGACTTCGGATGGTCACAAAATGCTTATTTTACTGCAAATTTTAATAGTGATAGTTGTAAATTGAATGGGACAGAGAAAAAGGATTGTATAGCAGACCCATGTTTATTTTGAATAACGAGTAACTTGTTGTTATGTTGAATACCATTACTTTGTTTTTTCCCAAGATATTTGGAAGGTTGGTGGTAGGATACCACTTGATAGAACAAGTTTAAATGTTGAATGAGTGACTTTTTGATTTAAAATAGACGATTACAGAAATTGAAGAACAATTCTAAGCATTCGAGAGGCTTAGATCACTCGCCCTAACTCAACAACTAATTCTCAGCTTGAATATCCCCAATCCCTCTCGATTACATTTATAGGCAACTTATCACATCATTATTTTCCAAAATACGCTTGCCCTTAACTGAATCTATTCTAACCGAATAAGTTTCTCAATTCTTCTAGGTCCTTCCACGCTGATAGGAGTCTATCATTACTCGCCCCTCGAAATCCATCTTGTCCTCAAGGTGGAGTGTGGTTCATCTTCAAAATTCGGAATATCATATAACAGAACCATTTCTTTGGTAAGTATCTCCGTCAAAGCAAATGTCAAAATGGGATATTTCAGCTCAATTGCAGTTAAAAAGTTTTGGCGTCGACCACCTACACTTAGAATTTTATCCATACAAATTCCATAATAGGTCGTACTCCTTTGCGAGCTTTCCAATTTTTGAACCTAATAGCCCGGAATAAAATTGCAGCTAATCAGGCACATTTTCACTGTCATTGCCAGATGCCTTACTAAAGCCATCATAGATGTTTGAGTGGTGAGAGGTGTTTGATGGGTGATTTGTGTTTGATAGGTTGGATAAACTGTCTTGGGATAGTTGTGTAGTTTGGGATTTAAATTTGGGCTTAATTGGATAAAGAAACAGTGTTTGAAGGTAATAAGGCTGTGAAGGCTGGGCCTTATGTTTAGGCTATGGATATTACTTTTAATTCTATATGGGCTGAAATTGAATTGTTCTTGCTTCAAGAACCTCTTTTTGTCTTCTCCCGTTTGGGCCCATGCCACAATTTGGTCCAACCTATTAGCATTACGCATTCTATCTTCAGCCATAGCCATCGATTTCTCCTTATTGATGGAATTTTCTTCCACTGTGTCTTGTGGACCAACCGGCAATGGAGCTGATACAATTTCAATTAACCTCCGACTTCCTCTAATGGTGGTTTCCTCACGGCGAGTTCGACCAGCCGTTCTCGTTTCACTTTCATCGATTTAAATAGAAATTTCAGAGGTGATGGTGGTTTTGGTCACAGTGGCTGCCACTCCTTTCTTCTTTCTCTCTTGTTCATGTCCGTCCATTTTCTCAAGTTCCTCCATCGGAATCTCCAAATCCCTTCGGTAATTGGTTCCTTCTTGCTGTGATGCCAAATATTTGTTAGAAAAGTTGACCTCCACTTTGTGACTTTTAATCTGAACCCTGAGTTCCATAGACTGTAATCCTGCTTCAGTTAGCCTTTTGCAAGCCGGATTATTGGATTTTCTGATGGCTAGAGGTCCTGATTCAGTTAATCCAGTTGCCAGCATATCGTTCTGGAGGAAGTTTCATGAAGGCGATATTGTCTTAGAGCTTTGCGAAGGAATGAAATGGCTTGGAGTCTGCTTATGGGTCATTTGATTTGAAGGGAAGCACTGGGCCTGTTTCATGATCTCAGTGATGTCCTCCATCCTTTGGGCTTGCTCCCTAATAAGGCCCAGTCCCTGTGGTTGAATTTGGCCGAGTTTCTTGTCACAGTCCAACTGTAAGAAATCCATTATTTTTCCATTGTTCTCCTCCTGATTCGGCCAATTCACAGAGATTCTTTCTACGACCTGCTCCGATCTCTTCTCCTCCTCCGGTGGTGGTGATATAAGGATCTCAATTGATCTCCAGTCTTCGGTGGATACTTCAGGTCGATCGCGGCTGCCTTTATTTGGCCAGATCTCATTAGATTGAGGTGGTAATTCAGATGCGTGGGTGGTTTCCGATGAAGTAGCAACCCATCCATTCCCCTTCCTTTCATGTTCCTCTTCAGTGCTGGTGGTTCTTTCTCTGTCTTCCAGTTCAACCCATCACACTGCTTTTCAGATGAAAATCTATCACCAATAGAGACTTTACTCATGCTAAATCGATCCAACATCATTTTTTTAATTCTCCCTAAGTTTGCACGGGTCGTCGACGATCTAGCCATTGAAACCACTCCCAAGGTTCACCATCCCAACACACCGTAGTGGCTTCCACCTTTTCCCTCTCCAACAATCGATTTCTTTTGAAAATTTCCTCAACTTTCCCTCTCCACCAATCTGGACTGCCATCATAGAATATCGATATCTTGAGACCGCCAAGCGAATCCAATCCAGAATCAAGTGCTTGGTCTCTTGTTCGTTGCATCATTAGTTGTGGAGCTCCATTTCTCCTTCAATTCCGTGCTGAAATTTGTTTCCATCCTCCCTAGAATCGAGGGCTCTAATACCAATTGATAGGATACCACTTGAAAGAACAAGTTCAAATGTTGAATGAGTGACTTTTTGATTAAAAATGGACGATTACAGAAATTGAAGAACAATTCTAAGCATTCGAGAGGCTTAGATCTCTCCCCCTAACTCAACAACTAATTCTCAGCATGAATATCCCCAATTCCTCCCCTTTACATTTATAGGCAACTTATCACATCATTATTTCTCAAAATACGTCTGCCCCTAACTAAATCTATTCTAACTGAATAAGTTTCTCAATTCTTCTAGGTCCTTCCACGTTGATAGGACTCTATCAGTTGGTCTATCTACATATTGGAGAAAATTTCACGATAAGTTATACAACAATTAGAACCATGAGGAAAAAAATTCTTATTTTTTTTCTCTTGTTTTCTGCTCTTTCTTCTGTTGCTTTTGCGTTCTCAAGCTTGATCAGTAGTCTATAAGATGGAATATTGTTGAATGTCGACGTAGAAAGTTGCAGTAAATATGATGCTGGGACTTGTAGATAGGTCAATTGGCCTAAAGTAGATTAAAGTCAATATGGGGGCTCATAGATAATTTGGTTCTGTGGAGGATATTCTTACTTCGAAAGTTAAAATAAAAAAGAGGACTTTTTCTTTGAAGATCTTACCTTTGGAACTGCATATATGTCAGTTCTATCAAAAATTGAAGCTGTTTGTTATATGTTAAATGGAAGGACGAAAGAAGCAGGTACCAAATGGTCTATAATGTTTAGAAGCCATGGTATTTCAAATACATTTTTGTTTTTGTGCTATTCTGGGTCATATTTTATAGCTTTGATCTGGTTCTAGTGACATGATATCGGCTATACTTCTGCAGAAAGTAATATGAATGGAGTCTCGTGCTGTGCAAAAACCAATATGACATTGGCTATACTCGTGCAAAAACTAAAATATTGAGTCTCTATATGGTTAGATCTTGGATGGTAACGGTGATTATATGTCCATTCTATTCACATGTACTTTTTGAGTATTTTTAAATTTTCTCTTCTGAAGGCAATAAACCACGCTGACAAATTACAAATTTTAAAATTCTTGGACTGTAAACATTCCTACTGTCATTAATTTTAGTATATATAGTCTAGCGCATCTGTGAGATCAATTATCAATTGTCTTCATCCATGGCATTTTAGTTCTTTCTTTTTCTGATGTTCCACCTTCTCTTTGCAGCCTTTACCTCCAGAAGAGGAGAAAGAACTGAAAGAAACGTTGCAGGATATAATAGGACACGGGAAGAAAGTTAAGGTTGAGCAGAAGGTACTGATTACTTATCAAACATATTGTTGCACTGCTAATTACTTTCTTGATTTGAAAAACATTTGAGACTTGATTCCGTGTATGCAGATCGATACCAGTATTCTTGGTGGGCTTGTCGTGGAATTTGGACAGAAAGTTTTTGACATGTCTATAAGGACTAGGGCACGGCAGATGGAGCGATTCCTTCGGGAACCTGTCAACTTAGACAGCCACTAGTACTCCCTGCTTTTCTGCTTATTTTTTCTCAATCAGTTGGCCTAGAATGCATTCAAATAAAAAATTGCTACTCCATTCTTGGTTGAGTCATGCCAAAAACACTGGTAATCTGATGACATCTTTCATCTGGTATTTACTGAATTATTACAATCTGTTCCAAGTGAAATTGAAATATCACATTGTCTACTTTGATGAGTGGCTTTAAAATTCACTTTTAAGCAAATTCCGCATTTTACATCCACAGTTTGTGCTAGTTCTGATTGACGGATCTCGGCCTGTTTCTAGTATGCTAGCCATCTCCAAAATTGAATACTAAAATAAAAATATGTAGTCCATTTTTAGTTAAAAATAAGTATTTTGTAGAATTTTGTTTTTGTTATTTTGTTTCTTATTTTAATAATGAAGGGCAAACAAGTGTTTTTATGTTCTCGTAAAGGATTCTTTAGATGAACATAGACAACGCAGGTTAATTAATAAAAAATTGATCATAAGAATATTATAAAAAGAAATTTGAAATAAGTGTGAAAATGAGTAAATATTGGGGACTTTCATTGCAAAATGTAATACGGTTAATAAAAAGTATGGTGTAAACATAATTACCTTAGGATGAGTTAGGTTTCCGCATGACTAGTTTTGTCTTCCTAACTACTAAAATGTAGAATTTCCTAATAACTTCATCATTTCTTAATAATTTTTGAACAATATTATAGATATTTGAAGGATTTTTTAAAAGTCCGTTTGACATAATTTTTGCTTTTTGTAGAAGAGCTTTTAGAAGAAGCTACTTTAATTTTTGTTTAAAGACTAATATTTAAAAGCATTTTCTATTCCGAAAGTGCTTTTAAAGGAAGCTACATTGAACCAGTTTTATCTAAAAGCTCTTCTAACTATCAAAAACACTTTAATAAAATTAGCCAAACGGGTCCAAAAGCAGCTTTTGAACCTTAAAAGTTCATTTTGACTCTTCAAAAGTCATGCCAAACGAGTTTTTAGTTCTTTTGATCCAAATTGTTAAAAATTCATTTTTACAAGTTTTTGATATTTGCATATAATTAAGGAGATTTTGACTTCAATCAATTCTCAATTTTCAATAGAATCAATGAGTACTAATTGGTTGATTCTCAAGTATTCTTTAAAATTAGCAAGGTTCAATCTAGCCTCATTTGATCTTCGTTAAATTAAATTTCATTTATCTTTCTCCTATTTTCAATCACAATCTTCCATAAAATAATATTACATGTGAATCGATTTTTTTTTCTTTTTCAATCACTCATTCTCCAAATATAAAAAAAAAATACTATTCAACTCATTTTAATTTGAAAAAATAGGGGTCAAACGGCGGCCTAACCTAGTATTTTTATTTATTTATTTATTTTTTTTCAACCCTTCTCACTGCATCACACTAGCGTTTACACTGGATTTTAATAACAGAGTAACTTTGGAATATATTTCACATAGTTTTTCTAATTTCTAAAAAAAAGAAAAGAAAAGAAAAGAAAAGCTTTTATAACCTTTTGTTTTTTGACACAGAACTTTAAAGCCTGCACGACGCTAGAATGTACATAGCGCAACAATAGACATGTATCTTATAAGACTTCGGCCAAGAAAAAGAATGGTAAGGGTGGCGACTCAGTGGATTAATGAATTGAAGATAAAATTACGTTGACAGGATGGTGAATATGCATAAAAATATTTGATTATTTGAATACCCATAATTTCAAGAAATTAGAATTTTATTTATTTATTTATTTATTAAATTAACCTAGGATACTGAATGATTGACTTTCAAGGACAAAATCTTGATTATGGAAATACTGAGATTGGATAGAATAGGAAAAATAAAATAAAATAAAATAAAATTAAGTTGTATAAAATTTTGTTTTTTCTTTTTGGTTTTTTAAAATGTAGTATTAATCAAGCAAAAAGACCTAATTAACTTTAATAGTTTTTCAATTTTCATTTTTATTTTCTTAAACTTTAATATGACTAACTACTTAAAATGTACAAAATTTACAAAAACAATCAAATATGAATCAAATGGCTCGATTGCATCGATGAGGGCATGATAAAATGGGAATTTAATTTTCTTATTTTGCTTTTCAGAGGGTAACTTCTTGTTGTTGTTGTTGTTGTTGTTATTATTCATTTTTCTATTTATTTCTCATGCCTTGAGAACTTATGTTAGAGTTCATATCTGCAAAATAATTCAAAGTTATATATTGCAGAGGAGATGCATAAATCTTCAAACTAGAGTTTCAACTTTGTACGTGTATATATTTTGACACTGTTTTTTTGAATCCCTATAACTTGCTTGTACACACATGCTTTTGTTAAAGAATTTATTTTTATTTATTTATTTTTTATAGATGATAATGTGGCGAAATTGGATTGGCTGGCTAGAAATTGTTTTTTATTCAATCGTCAATGAAATTCTACCATGTATCAATCTGTCGAACTGTTTGTAAAAATTCCTGATAATGTAGCATAACTCTTATGGTTGAAGAAGAATTGTTCTACTCGTACCTGTTGCTTGACACGGAAGTTGACAGATGGAGCTGGCTTTATTGATTGAAAAATCAGAATTTGAATTTAGAAGAAAGTTGGCTGCTACTAAAGAATAAAAGATTATTTATTTTGGACCCATATCAAATGGGCCTCATTTACCCGATCCTATACGGCCAAACCTGCCTTTGCTTTCTCTTACTTTCAGAAAAGACGCGAAATACGCCCCCTTTTCTCCAAACTCCACCATTTGTAACGCCAAATACTTTCAGATGGATATTGGAAGGAGTTCATCAAAACATGGCAGACAAAGGTAACGAGTGTTTTCTGATTTTCTTGAAAATGCAATGTGTTGGGAGTTAATGACTTTATTATTGAGTTAATCTCAAACTTGCATTAATAGTTGTTGAAAATTTACATTTATTGTGAAGAAATCATTGTTTCGGTTCAATGTTGGTCGGCATTTTTTTTTTTTTTTAGAAAAAAATTACAAATGAAGGTAATGCGTATTTTTTTATATTGTGTGTTGGATGTTCTTGATCTCAGTCTTTAGTGGATGGAAAACTTGTGTCAATAGTCTTTGAAACTTTACATTTGTTGTGAAAAAATAATTTTCGGTTCAATGTTGGTTGACATTATTTTTTAAGAGAAAGTTACATTTTGGTTCAATCATTTCATGACGAAATTTACATCTATTGTGTAAAAATCATTATTGCAACTGATTTTACCCTTACATTGCAAGGAAAGATATGTTGGACAATGTGGATAAAATTATTTTGGTAGAATTTGAGTCTAAGAATGTCATGGAGAAAGTGAACTTATTAAGTGAGGAAATTGTAGCAAGAGATGGTGGGCCTTTGTGAGTGCCCTAGGTCGGTATGAAGTTCAATGATGAAAATGAATTGTTTGACTACTACAAAAAAATTTGTGTACGCCGAAGGTTTTCCAATTAGGAAAAGAAATTCCAAAAATGATGATGACGGTGTTGTGAGATATGTCACATTGACATGTAGCCGTGAAGGAAAAAGAAGTAATACTACAATCGGTTCTTTGACACTACAACCAACCATTTAGATAGGTTGTAAAGCGAGGTTGACTGCATCTATGGATAGCCGTGGAATATGGAGAATTAACATAGTAAATCTCGAGCATAATAATAAAACAAGTCCATCCAAGTCGAGACTATATCGATGTAATTGAGAGTTGAACGCTCATGTTAAACGGCGGCTAGAAGTTAATGATATGGCATGAATTCCGTTACATAAAAGTTTCAACTCTGCAGTAGTCAAAGCATATGGATACGAAAATATGACGTGCATGGAAAAGGATTGTCGAAACTATGTTGAACAAGTTCGGCATCTGAGACTTGGAGAATGGGACTTTGTAGCAATACAACCATACTTTTCGAAAGTTCAAGCCAGTTGCACCGGGTTTTACTTCAGTATGGATCTGGACGAAGATTCGAGGTTGAGGAATGTGTTTTAGGCAGATAATAGGAGTAGGCAGTTCGATACCATGTAGCTCATCAATAAGTATGACATGCCGTTTGCCCCTTTTGTTAAAATTAATCATCATGGACAATCTATCCTTCTTGGCTGTGGGCTAGTATTGAATGGGGATATAGATACATTTTTCTGGCTGTTTAGGACATGACTGCAATGTATGCATGGAAAAATTCCCCAAGGTATAATTACTGATCAAGACAAGGTAATGCAGAATGCAATTGGAATTGTGTTCCCCGATATGAAATATAGATGGTGTTTGTCGCACATATTGAAAGAGTTACCAGAAAAGTTTGGATACCACACGGAGAAGGGTTCAATTTTCCATGCTATACACGATTTCGTTTATGATTCATATTTTGTTCAAGAATTTGAAGATGGATGGAGGGTAACGATTGATACATATGATTTGCATGATAATGCATGGTTGTCGGGACTGTATGATAATAGATGTCGATGGGTTCCGTGTTATTTCAAAACCAGCTTCTAGGCAGGAATGTCGACAACTCAACGCAGTGACAGTATGAATGCGTTCTTCGATGAGTATGTGCATTTGAAAACTTCGATAAAGCAATTTGTCGAACAATATAAACGAGTTTTGAAGAATAAAGTTGAGAAAGAGATTCCAGCAAATTTCAAGTTTTTCTCACAAATGGTGCCATGTGCGACGAGGTATGAAGTGGAGAAGCAATTTCAAACCATATACACCATTGCAAAGTTTAGATAAGTTCAAGAAGAGATCACCGGGAAGCTTTATTATAACTTAATCTCTTCTTCAAAGTGAAGTTTGGGGACAACATATGAGGTATACGAGGAACAAATAAACAATGAGCAATCTCACCAAAAAACGTTCTTCGTATCTTTTCAATGAGAAGATTGTTGCCACCTATTCGAATTTCGAGAAATAATATGCAGGCACATGATTGCAGTATTGGTTCGTAATGGTGTCAAACAAGTACCAGATAGGTATATACTACGGAAATGGCGAAGAGATGTAAGTAGAGCCCACACGAGGGTTCCAGTTCATTACGATGGGTTGACTAGTACCCCAGGATAGTTGAGTTATGACAAACTGTGTCAGTCTTTTGCTACGTTGGTGAACTTGGTTGTAGATGATGAAAGCAGAGCTGCAAATATACAAAAATGGATCGAACATGAATGTCAAATGGTAAAGACATCGAAGTCCAATATTGTTAGTAACGTCATGTCTCCATCTACTACACCGCTAGCATC